CGTGGCCGGGAGCGCCCGCCCGCTCCGTGCTCTGCGTTCTGTCTGCATAGGGGGCGCGAGGACCGCATTCTGGCGATCTCGGCGCAGCCGACCCGTTTCGAGTGCGATGTTGTGCCGATGCAGCCCGATGCGACGCAGATTCCGGTTCGACCTGATTTCCAGATTTGATGTTCATTGATCTTGGAGGTTCTGGAGTTGTGGCTCTGGGGCGCCATACTCCCCGTTCAGAGGCCCAGCTTCCTGGGGCCACCCTGGATAGCACGTAGTCGAAAGCGCCCATCATGGCTGGCACTCAGGGTCTGGGCAAGAATTGGGCAACCCGAGGTCGAGCGCCGGAAGCTTCCCTCTGGCGCCGCTGGTTGAGTCAGCCCCTCAAGGGGGATCACCCTCAGATCCGACGTTGCGAAACACTTGCAACATCGTGAGACATCACGACTGGAGCCCTAGACCGCATCGTTCTGAAGCATTTCTCGAGCCGGATCGGTCTGTGATGGTCCGGTGGCCTGGTGTGAAGAAATTCAACGCCCGGATCTGAGGGAAGGGAGGATCGGGTATGTCCAGGACCCCGGGTAAGGGGACCCGGTTAGTGGCAGGGCCCCAGAGTCCCTCAATTGGCCAGAGGCACCGGGCCTCTGTAGGCCTCTTCCTACCCACGGGCGCTTCCAACACCCGCGGCGCCCACCGCTGGCGACTCAGAGAAAAGGGGGTTGGCGTATTCTGGGGGTCACCCAAAACAGGGCGCGGGATAACGGGGGGAGACTCACTCGCGTGGCCAGTCGGCTCCCTCTCTCAATGGGGTGTGGACCGAGGTAATTCTTATTTTGTTTGGTTCTGACCTCCCTGCTGGGCCTCTATTCGTTTTCAGCTTCTCCTTGTGCGGTTTAATGTGTGGTTCTCTTCGCCTAATTGGGCCACAAGCACGACCGCTCCAGTCAAGCAGCCTGAGTTTGCCCAACGCAAGAATGAGGCAAATCGTGAAAAAGTGAGGATCAAACGTGGTGGAGCCGGGCTCAGGCGAGCCTAGACCTCCGACGCCGTTATCGTTTGAACACGTGGGCGGCCAGGAATCTCGACTTCCTCCCTGCAGCCAAGACGCTGAAACAAGGACCGCTCTGGGTTCGGAAGGAGCTCGCGGCCCCTTGGGCAATGCCGTGGTCGTCCCGTCCCTCTATCCCTCCTCGTGCACCCAGGCACTTCTGGTGCCCCCAGAGGGGCTTCGTTCCTTGTGTACAGTCGGGGCCCCAAAGAAGGAACCCTTTTGGTTGGGGAGGGGCTCCGCGTTCCTTAAGTGTTTCGCAGCTTGCCCCACGTTTCCCTTAGGTTTTCGAATGGAAATCGAAATTCAACTTCTGGAGAAAAGGGGCCTCGTTCCTTATTTAGGATTCCTTAGGTCAAGTCCCCGACTGTATCGTTCCTTACTTCAGCAGTCCGACTGTGTGTTTTTCTCGTCGCGTGCCGTTCCAAACGGGCCTCCGGAGGCCGACGGCGCAGAGAAGCCCGTCGTCGTCCTCTTGTTGCAGGACGTGGTAGGTTGAAAATTATGTTCTCGAAATGCAACAAGTCGTTAGAGCTGTCATAGTTTTTGCGAAGCACTAGGATCTCATTCCCGCTCGCCATCTTGATCTCGGGTCGATCGGGTGGATATTTCAAAAAAAGCACCCGGGCGGGTGGAGGTCTCTCCAGAGGCCTCCGAAGGTCCCCAGCAGGTCCCTGGAGGTTTTCAGAGACCCCTGCTGGAGGAGTTCATCCAGGCCTCCCAAGCGGGTCCGAGTGGAGTAAACGGAGTCGGAAGATCTCGCCGCATCACCGATACACCGGCGATGCGGCTCGACGTGGAGCCTTATTTTCTCCACGCCGACGTCGCAAGCGCATCGCCGATGCATCGGATGCGATGCGGCGCGATTCTCCTGCCCCGCTACTCGGACCCCACGTGGGAGGCCTCCAGTCCGGAGGTCGCAAAGCTTCGATCCTCGAGCAGTCAGGCCTACGATCGCGACAGGTCACTCCAGAGCGTTCCAGGACGCGTCCAGAGCGTTCCGGAACACTCTGGGACGGCCGCGGAAACCGGCGCATCCTCCAGAAAAGGCTGGATTCTGAGATTTCCGTTCTGCCTCGATCCGATTCTGCCCCGCTCTTGCCCGCGTTTTTGCTCCGGCGCCCCCGCCGAGCTCTCCGAGGGCCGCCCCCCCGGGGCGCACATCGGTGCCGGTCCTGTCCTGTCCTGCCCGCGTTCTTGCTCGAGCCTCCCTCGCCCAGACTCCGTTCCTCGATCCCCGGGCGTTCGCGGTCTCTCTTCCCCGGGGGGCCTCTGCCCGCGGGGGCCCGCGCGGCCGGCAGAGGTCGTCTACCGCGACCTGAAGCCCGAGAACGTGGTGCTGGACGCCGGCCGCCACGCGATGCTGACCGACTTCGGGCTGGCCAAGGACAGCCGCCTCGGCGAGCCTTGTCAGGGACGGCGACGCCGCCGGCGGAGACGATCGTGACAGGGGCGACGACGACGACGACGTCGACGAGGACGACGACGACGACACCGCCGACGGAGACGATCCTGTCAGGGACGACGACGACGTCGACGACGCCGACGCCGCCGACGGAGACGACGACGGAGATGGCGGTGACAGCTTGTCTGGGCGGCTCCCAGGGCGGGCCCGCCCGCCGAGGCGGGCATCGTGGCGCGGGCGGTGGGCAGAGTGGTGGTGGTGGTGGTGGTCGTCGTCGTCGATCCTGTCAGGGACGACGACGACGACGACGACGACGACGACGACGACGACGGCGACGACGACGACGACGACGACGACGACGACGACGACGACGACGACGACGACGACGACGACGACGACGACGACGGCGGCGGCGGCGGCGACGACGACGACGACGACGACGACGACGACGGCGACGGCGGCGACGGCGACGACGGCGACAACGGCGGCGACGGCGGCGGCGGCGGCCGCGGCGGCGGCCGCGGCAGCGGCGGCGACGACGGTCCATCCCTGCCGTGCCTCCTCATTCTTGGGCCACCGGCGTCCACGGCCTCCATGGATCGGGATGCACACAGCAGGGTGCAGCGCTCGCGGGGGGCAGTCAAGCTCCTCCGATCCTACTCGGCCGAGCCTGGGTTTCAGATCCGTTTTGTGGCCAGCCCCGGTTCGCGGCATGGCCTTGGTTGACTCGTGCTAGCGGTGACCTGGCTCAGCGCGTCCCCGAAGTCGATCGGAGCAGATCGTGGATTGAGGACCGAAGTCGTTACGACCTTCTGCCGTTTTCTCAGATGCCTTTGGCAGCTTCCTGGGACCTTGGGGGACTTCGGGAACCTCTGTCGATGGGATCGGAGGTTGGCGCACGTATCGCTGACGCATCCGCGATACAGAAAGGGTCCGAAAAGTTGCCAAAGAGGGCCCCAAAACTGGCCAAGAAGGTTCCAAAACGGTCCGACAGGGTCCACAGACGGCCCCAAGAGAGCCCCAAGAGAGCCCCAGGAGCCTCCTAAGAGGCTCCAAGAGGCCGCCAAGAGAGCCCCAAGACGGCCACAGGCCTCGAAGAGGCCCCAAAACGTCCCAAATGGTCCCCATAGCTCAAGGTCGAGCCGTGCCCGCGCCCCCCCCCTCTCAGAGCTGAGCTCGAGATGTGGGCGCCGGTCCTGCTCCTCCTGCTCCTCGCCGCGCCGGCCCTTGCGGGCGGCGCCGGCAGCGCGGGGGCCGCCTGCGCCGAGGGCGCCCTGCTGCAAACTGCCCGGCAGGGTGGAGCCGTCGCAGACGTGGCTGCCACTGGCGACCCCCGCCTTCAGAACGTTCTCGGCCAGCGGTTCGACTTGATGAAACCAGGAAAGCATGATCTGATTACCACGTTCGCCCACGGCAATTTCGATTACGAGTCAAAGGATGAACCCGTGTGTCGTGGCCCCAGATCTGTCTACAATGCTAATTGCTGTCTGGGGGATAACTTCAGGGACAAATGTGAAGCATGCATGTGCGCCAGAAAAGGCGCGACATTGTGGTGCAACCGCGACCAGCACCCGTTCTCAGGCTGCAATCATGACGGCCAGTGTGGTACAAGCAGCGGGTGCTTCAAATTATTGCCAGGTGGTTCACCCTGTAAGGAACACCATCAGTGCCAGGGGCCTTTGTGCACGTTAAGTGGATGTCAGAACCCTAGACAGTGGATGTCAGAACCCTAGACAGCCCATGTGAGGGTAGCGCGAAATCGTCAAGCATCAATGGTCGCTTCCTCTCGTCTTGCAATGTCTGGTCTCCGCAGCGCGGCATTCGGTGCAGCTTACCTTTCGTCTGTAACCTTCGTTCCAGATGCAATATCTCATGATAGCATTCAGTGCAGCTTACCTTCCGGTTGTCCTACTTTCAGATGCAAGTGGCCGGGTTCCGGCCCGCCCGCGCCGCCCCTAAGGGGCCTGCCGGCCCGCCGGCCGATGAAGACCTGGTCGGCTCCCCGCCAGGCGTTTTCCCACAATCGGGGAAGCACGCGAGACCTTCTGAGAGTTATCGGTTAAACTCTCACCACAGTTTTGAAGACCTGGTCAGCTCCCCGCCAGTCGTTTTTCCGCAATCGGGGAAGCATGCGAGTCCTTCTGAGTGTTATCGGTTAAACCTTCAGCACTCGAGAAAAATATCCCGGCAAAGCAACCTAACAGTGATGTGTAGGAGCATATCTGGAAGCATTCCCCTTAAGATTTAGATGAGAATCCTGTTGTAGAATTCTGCTGTTCTCGCAGTCGTAGTCGCATTCGCGATGGCAGTCGCAGTGGCAACGGCAGTCGCAGTCACAGCCTCAGCCTCAGCCTGCCTCAGCCTCAGCCTCAGCCTGCCTCAGCCTCAGCCTGCCTCAGCCTCAGCCTCAGCCTGCTTCAGCCTCAGCCTCAGTCTGCCTTCAGCCTCGGCCTCAGCCTCAGCCTGCCTCAGCCTCAGCCTGCATCAGCCTCAGCCTCAGCCTCAGCCTGCCTCAGCATCAGCCTGCCTCAGCCTCAGCCTCAGCCTGCCTCAGCCTCAGCCTCAGTCTGCTTCAGCCTCAGCCTCAGTCTGCACAGGCCTCGGGCCTCAGCCACACACCCTGCATCAGCCTCAGCCTACACAGCCTCAGCCCAAGCCAGCATGCTCAGCCTCACAGGGGTCAGCCTCAGCCTCACCTGAGCCTGCCCTCAGCCTCAGCCTCAGTCTGCCTTCAGCCTCGGCCTCAGCCTCAAGCCTGCCTCAGCCTTAGCGTGCATCAGCCTCAGCCTCAGCCTCAACCTGCCTCAGCCTCAGCCTGCCTCAGCCTCAGCCTCAACCTGCCTCAGCCTCAGCCTCAGCCTGCTTCAGCCTCAGCCTCAGTCTGCCTTCAGCCTCGGCCTCAGCCTCAGCCTGCCTCAGCCTAAGCCTGCATCAGCCTCAGCCTCAGCCTCAGCCTGCCTCAGCATCAGCCTGCCTCAGCCTCAGCCTCAGCCTGCCTCAGCCTCAGCCTCAGCCTCAGCCTGCTTCAGCCTTCAGCCTCAGTCTGCCTTCGGCCTCGGCCTCAGCCTCAGGCTGCCTCAGCCTCAGCCTGCATCAGCCTTAGCCTCAGCCTCAGCCGGCCTCAGCATCAGCCTGCCTCAGCCTCAGCCTCAGCCTGCCTCAGCCTCAGCCTCAGCCTGCTTCAGCCTCAGCCCTGAATCAGCCTCAGCTCAGCCCAGCAGCTCAGCCTCAGCCTGCCTCAGCCTGCTCAGCCTGCTCTGCTCAGCCTCAGCATCAGCTGCTGAGGCTGAGGCTGAGGCTGAGGCTGAGGCTGAGGCTGATGCAGGCTGAGGCTGAGGCAGGCTGAGGCTGAGGCCGAGGCTGAAGGCAGACTGAGGCTGATGCTGAGGCTGAGGCTGAGCACTGAGGCTGAGGCTGAGGCTGAGGCAGGCTGCTGAGGCTGAGGCTGATGCAGGCTGAGGCTGAGGCAGCCTGAGGCTGAGGCCGAGGCTGAAGGCAGACTGAGGCTGAGGCTGAAGCACGCTGAGGCTGAGGCTGAGGCAGGCTGAGGCTGAGGCTGAGGCTGAGGCAGGCTGATGCTGAGGCAGGCTGATGCTGAGGCTGAGGCTGATGCAGGCTGAGGCTGAGAGTGGCTGAGGCTGAGGCCGAGGTTCGATTTTCTGACTTCATCCGCCCTGGCCCCGATCAATTGGGCGGCCTCCAGCCAAGGAGGAAACATTTTCCCGCTTCTTCGTAGTCTTCCAGATGTCCTGCGCGTGACGGACGCATTTCAGGACCACGAGGCCCGAATCTGCACTGTCTTGGGCCGTGTCGGGGGGACCACTGGAGCTCTTCTGAAGCCTTCTGGGTCGAACATCCTTGGGAGCCAGGAGATAATGAAGCACGTGAGGCTTTCCAGTGGCTTTTGGGCTGCAAGTAGAACTGTTGAGATCGCCAACGCTCAGGCGGACCCTGATGCCTGAGCAGCGTGCGGGACGGGCGGGGCCCTCAGGAGCAGCGTTGGGGGAGGACAGGCTCAGGGGGGGACGCATCGACCCCCCGGTCGCGCACTCGTCGCCGTTAGGGGTCCGAGAGCCCACCGCGCCCAGGACCGTGCGGGTTCGCTATCGGGGGCTTATCGCTGACCTGCCCGCGATGTATCGCTGATTCCAGGTCGATCTCCCCCCTCCTCCCTGAGCCCGTCCCCCCCCCCCCCCCTGACGTTGCCCCTCAGAGCCGCCAACCCGCTCGCCTTGAGCTCGCAGAACACAACAAAAACACTGCATAAGCAGCCTCTTTCGGAGCTTCGCATGGACGTCTTGGATCGGCGCTGGGAGGTCCGAACAGTGCCCGCTTCTGCTGCCTCCTCTTCCTCCCGCGACAGCCCGCCCAGGACAGCGTGGAGGGCCTCCGCGGCACCGGCTCCTTCTGCGGCTCCGTGGCGTACCTGGCGCCCGAGATCCTCGAGCGCGCGGGGCACGGGCCCGCAGTGGAGAGCCCCCTGCCGCGCGCACGCGCCGCTCTCCGCCCCCGCCGTTGCGGACGTCGATCCCGCCATCGAGAGTCGCGATGGCCGCCGCCGCGGCGCAACAGTGGACGTCGAAAGCCTATCGGGGGGGCCGGGCGGAGCGAAAGTGCCCCATCTGGGGCTCCGGGAAGGGCCCCGCGGTGTCTCCAAGCGCGCTTCGACTGCGCGGTCGCAAGGGGCCTGCTTGAAAGCGTGTCAACGTGCGCCTGGCTGCCAACATGGCTGCGCGACGTGCCCTGCGCGCTCTAGAATTTGCCATGCGAGCGCGCCCCCCCCCCCCCCAAGAAGAACGCGCATAGCGCGAGGGGAAACTCGTGGGGCCGCAAGCGGGGCGCGCGATTTCCCCGTTGAGTTGCCTGGCGGTCTGCGCCTGGTCTGTCGTGTCCGTCGCGCCCCCCTCCCCGCTCCTCCTCGCCCCCCCCCCCGCCCCCTTTCCTCGCCTCCCTCCCCCTCCTCTTCCCGCCTCCTTTCTCCCCGGCCTCTCCTGCCCCCCCCCCCTCCGCCCTCGAGAACGGGGTTGTGGAGTACCTCGCCGTCGCGGGCGCCAACGCGAGGCTTTCACACTGAGTTCGCGCGTGTGTCGTTCAATGCAATGTGTGCTCTGTGGCGGCCTCCTCTCTCCTCCTCCTACTCCTCCTCCTCGTCCTCCTGCTCCTGCTCCTCCTCCTCCTTCCTCCTCCTCCTCCTCCTCCTCCTCCTCCTCTCCCTCCGTTTTTGGTGCTCCCCCCCCCCCCCCCGAAAAAAAAAAGAAAACCCAAAAAAAAAATCGGGGCGCTCCGCTTTTTTTTTGGGGGGGGTTCTCTTTTTTTTCGGGGGGGGGGGGGGGGGCAAAGGAAAATCCTCTCTCCTCCCTCCTCCTCCTCCTCCTCCTTCTCCTCCTCCTCTTCTTCCTCCTCCGCCGCCTCCCTCCTCCTCCTCCTCCTCCTCCTCCCTCCTCCTCCTCCTCGTCCTCCTCCTCCTCCTCCTCCTCCTCTCCGGCCTCATCCACCGAATCCTCATCATTCTTCTCCTCCTCCTGCTCCTCCTCCTCCATTCCCCCTTCCCACGCATCCACCCTTTCCCTCCGCCGACTCCTTCGCCCCAATTCCTCCTCCACGCACTCCTCCACCTCATCCTCATATTCGTCCTCATATTCGTTGTCCTCCTCCTCCTCCACCATCCTCCTCCTTCACCGTCGGAGCCCGACTTGCACGGGTCCCATCGGGCTGGGAGGAGACGACGGCCCAGGGGGGCAGCGCGGGGCATGAGGGGGGAGGGAAGGGGGAGAGGTAAGAAGGAATGGGAGGCAATGAGAAGATTTTTTAAACGACGCATGCACAATCAGATCTCGCAAAAGTGTTGGGGTACATTACGCCACGCTGAAGTAAAGTACAAGTCTAGAGCCACGCTGAAGTAAAGTACATAAAGCGAAATTCGCGCTGGCACATATGCTGCACCGCGTGTTAATCAGCCCTAAGCCCGCGCCAGAGCTAAACACCCGAACAATTCATGGCGCCCACCATGAAACCACAGCTGCAACTAATTACCATACATGTATCAAAGCGCCCCGTTGGCACATCTACTGCACCATCGCAATGACCATCCCTAAATAGCGCACCATGCACTATCAAAGCGCCCTGTTGGCACATCTCATGCACCATCTACTGCGCCATGGCTGTAAGCATTAACTCATATGTTATACCTGAGTCTATGGCATTCATAGCTAAGCGCATCCGTAGTGCCCGCCCGTTCCCTGCGTCGTCCTGAGGCTTCCCGTCGGCGGCAGGTACTCGATGCTGTGCTCCGCCACGTAGTTGCTGTGAAACTTTGCGAAGAAGAGCACGCAGAGCTTGTGCCGCAGTGGGACCATCTCGTTGAGCGGGCGCGCGTAGCCCCGAAACCACGAGAAGCTCTGCTCGGCCACCTGCGTGTTGATGCCGTTCAGGCGGCGGCTCAAACGCTTAATGTGGTACGGGTTGCAGGGACAGCTGCGCGCGTGCCCCTTCGCATGCATCATGTCGACGGCCCAGTACTTGGTGTTCTTGAAGGCAGGCAACTTCTGGGCTGACACGTAGAATGAGCAGCACCGATCGTAAACGAACGTGTTGACGTTGGGGTGCTTCTTGAGAGCGCGAGTCAGGGCTTCTGCCGCCACGCCGTTGCCCTCTGGGTTCTTCTGCTCGACTGCGGCAACGATGCGCCCATCAGGGGTGAGGACCATGAACCACCCGTGGTTGTGGTGCATGTGGCGGGCTGCTTTGCTGCTGCTCTTGTACTGCGCCTTCTTCCGAATGGCTGCGGCGGACGCCCCCTTGCCGGGTGCAGCGGCAGACGGCCTCTTGCGCACTGGCGCGGCGGACGGCCTCTTGAGAACCACAGACTTCTTCTTCGCGGCGGGCCTCACCTTCAGGACGTGTTTCTTGATGGCGGTCTTGCGCACCCTCTTCATCGACCCCTTCGCCGCTGCTTGCCTCCTGCGCACGGCGCGCTTCTGCCTCTCCTCGTCATTGCATTTCGTGAGAATTTTCTCGTGGCCGCCCCCGACGAGCACAGTGATCTTCTTCGGGCGCGGATCGGGGAACACGTTCTTGTGGTAGTAGCTGTCCAACTTGGAGAAGGTATCGTCGGTGATCTCCTTACCGATGATGATGCCGCGGTGCTCTTTGATCGGTTCCATTTCCTGCGCAGTGATCAGGTACATCAGGGCGTCGAGGTGGAGCTTCCTGTAATCGGTCACGGATTCTTTCCCGTGCCCGTCATCAGCCTTGTCCGAGAAGGTCTCCTTGGTAACCCAGTCGATGCCGCGAGCGGTGGTGAAGGAACGGAACATCAGCTTCTCGTGGTACCTCAAGTAGCGCATGGTGAACGCTCTCTGGTTGCCCACGAAAACAACCCCCGACTGCTCGAAATCCGCCAGCGTCGCCGTATTGACCTTGTCGCCGCCGACCCACATGAAGTTCGGTCCGGACGTGAGCAGGCACGATTTGTTTGTGATCTCCAGGGCCTGACTGAGATCTCCGTGGTGCAGTGGAGGTCGTAAAGCGTGCAGGATATGTCAGGTCGAGACGCCATTCCCGTGCGCTGCGCCAGCGGGGCGTTGCAGTGGGCGCACGTCCACACATGCGTTTCGAAGGGGCCGTCTGTGTCCACAGCCTGCTGCAGACCAGGTCCTGGTTGGAACATCGTCGGCGCCTGCAGCTGGCATCATGTACGCGTCGTCCCCGTCAGTCGGCAATCCCGCGTCCGCATTCACCGTCGTCAAGGAGAACCACTGCAAACCCTTGCCCTCCGCGTGCGTCTCAAGTTCGGCCAGGCGCAAATGCATCTCCACCGAAGGGGCCGTCGGGTCCCAGAGCGCCACGCAACCGCCCTCCAAGATCCTGACGCCGTGGCAATGCGCAGGCGCGGGCGCTGGCTGAACCTCAATGACGCCGTGCACAGTGCTCTCGGGATTGTCGCGGCGGAAGACGTTGTCCACAGTTTCCTTGATGAACTGAGGGGTCTTTGTTGCATCGCGCTGGGAATGGTCCAATTCGGATTCGCTGAACTCCTTGACCGTCATGGTCGCGGTCTCCTCGTCGAGCGCGGTCTTGGGACACAGCTGTGCCCAATCAGCCACCGAGACGATGCAATTGGCCACCTGGCGTTCGCCGCGCTCCCTCCGAACGACCGCCGTCTGTGAGTCGCGAAGCGCGGCCCTTGCGAAGCGGACGTGCTGGTCCCCGCGCGGCCACGACTTTATGTGGAATTCTACACCAGCTGCGGCGCTCGCCTCGGCCACGGCTACCGCCGCCATCGCTTCCCCCAGAAAGTCGGCCGCCTTCGCGAGGGGCCCGCAGAATCATCAACGCAGTGTTCTCCATGTGCGAGAGGATGGCCGCGATCCTGCTGAAGACGGGGCTCGGGCGGTCGGCATAGAGCACGTTGTACTCGGCGTACTCCGCGCAAGCAAGCAACAAGTGGGCGCCGTCGACAATCTCGTTTGAAAGCTTCAGTATCCACGGAAGCTGCGTGGCCGGCAGAGAACCGGAGAAGGAGAGATGGGGGGGGGCAGAGGAGGGGGGAGGGAGGGGGGGACGAGGGGTAGGAGGGAAGGGGGGGGCGAGGGGTGGAGGGAGGGGAGGTAGAGGAGGGAAGGGAAAGAGGAGAGTTAGAGGAGGATGGGGAGGAGGGGGGGAGGGAGAGGAGGGAGGAGGAAGAAGTAAGTTTATAATACGCACAAGAACCGTAGAATAGCTTGATCAGCTCCACCTTGGCCTCGTCAATAGAGATTTCGAGGTGCTGGGCAATGGCCTCCCGCCACTTTTTGTACTCGGCACAGAACTTGTGGATCATGGGGAACCTGTTCTTGTTCCACAGACCGCGCGCCTGCAGAGCCTTCTTGAACAAACGCGGGTGGCAACGCGGAGAGTCGCCCTCGCGAGTGAACTTCCGCCCACCGACCCCACGGCGCAACGAGCGTCCATATGGGTATGGGATGTAGTAGTCCATGGGCAGAGTGACCGTCCGCTCGGCGCTGTCGTAGTGTGGCAGGCAGCATGCGATGTACGCGTCGAGCACATTCTGGCGCCGATCAGTCTTGCCCTTGGCGTACTCTTGCAACTCAACCAAAGAAGGCATCTCAACGCATCTGGTCTGTGTGGTGGGCGCGCCGTCGAACCGCGTCACGGGGGTAGTCAAGTGCTCCAATATCATTTTGTACCACTCGACGGAGCCGCCTGCAACGAGCGTAGAAGTGTTGTCAATGTTGTCGAATGGATTGCCCCAATCATCCCAATCTCCGAACACGCCCCTGCCGCCGCATGCCTCCCACGTCTGCATCATCTTCTCGTAGTTAACCATGAGTTTCCTCAAAGCGTTGGTGTCGCACTGCGTGAAGAGGCGCAGGTTCGACTTCCCGATGGCGGCCGTGAGGTTCTGCCACTTTGAGGCGCCCTTCTTCCCTGGCTTCCGCGTCCCAGGTATGCAGTCTACGTTCTCAATGAGGTA